GACACTTAGGGCACTTAAAGACTATGATCAAACCAAGCCATAGCCTCCTCTTGGATAAATTAATAGATGGGATTTCTTTAGTCTTTTGCAATAAGATGCGATTCCCAGACCCTGAATCACTCTTCTAGCTCTCTTCTGATCCCATATTAATTTGCCAATGCACTTTTAACATGCAAACACCAAAACAGAGCTGGACACAGTATTCCAGCAGCGATCTCATTCATGTCAGAAGCATTAATGGCATCATTAAGTTTACTTGTTTAAAGCCCTATGCAGATTACCTTTATAGATAGCCTTAGCAATACTGACTTTATTAAAATCCCATTTAAAAAGTCACCTGTCTTCATGCAGACTAGTGCTGTTCATCAAATTCACAGCGCTGAGCACTGCTTGACCAAAATGCAGAGCTGGCTTAGTTTTTCTAGCTGGGGCTTTTTCAGTGCTCCACCAGCCCTACCCTTCAGTAGGGCTTCATATTTTTTTCTTTTGTCTGTGAGAAGCAACTGCTGCATATTCGCACAATGGCACTAGCCCTGGCTGTGCAGTAACAGAGAAGTGCATAGACAGAGATCCACTACACCATTCCCTCCTTTCCCTCTTCCTCTCTTGCAATGCCAAAGCCTTAGTTGAGTTCCCACAAGACTCAGGGTGGTTCAGTCCTATCAGTGACAGCAGTGGGGCTCAGTTTTGTGACACTCTTCTCCAGATAGCCCACAGAGAGCTTTTGAGGGCTTCTCCAGCCACGTCAATGGGTCTGCTTTCACACCCAAGCCCATTTCCCATTCACCTTCTCATGAATGTCTGCTCCAAAAGATGGACATTAAGCAGGGCAGAGCTGTCCCATTAGATACTAGATGAAACATGCCTTCTGATAAAGAAATAGGAACTGTCCTTCCTCTGCCCATCCTGGTGATACCCATCCATTTTTCAGTCTGTCTCAGCTTCTGAGACAGCCTTGCTGTGCAGCCTGAAATGGCAGGAATCTCAGAGGACTGAGGTGTTATAGAGGGATTAACTGCGCTGTTCTGGTACCTTCCCAATCTCTGATCTTCTCAGGATATACCAGGAATCACTGCATGCAGTGCAAGCCTGACTCTGTTCTGTGTGAGAAGTGGCCTGTGTTGCAGCCAAAGTGCCCTGGATTACTTGGATGAGACAGTCTCCCAAAAGCCTCAGCTGTAGCTAGGACTGCATTGTGTTGGGCCTTGTATAGCAAGGATGAAACAGTCTCTGATCCAACAATCTCTTTCCTTATCATTTGTATCCTCAAAAGCAGAAAATCATGTAGGACAGACACATTCTGGGAAATGGCTGAGCCTCAGCTGCATACATGAGCTCTATGCTTTCTAGCAGGGGTCATACCTGAGCAACACTCCTTTATTTATTTTCCTCCCAAATGATAGGTCTTTTTTCATAATCCCAGTTGTAGATTCACGTTAGTCATGGTCGTGCATCAGAACCAAAGGTGCTTTTCCTGCCAAAGCCAATTAGACTGGCACACAGCATCTTCTAGCTCGCTCGGTTCCCCAGGCTGTTCCTCCTGAGATCTCTGCCCTAACAGAGGTTATGGCACATGCTGGAGACCTGGTGAGCTTAGTGGGCCTGTACCATGGACATCTTCCAGTGGGCAAGCTGATACAACCTGCCCAGAAAAGCTGGTCCCCATATAGGAGTGATTCTCCATTTGCACAGAGCTGCTTAAGGGACTTGCACACTACTTATTCTGTTACTGCCTCTGGGGACGTGATGCTAGAGCATAAAGCTTCTGTAACTGCACTTTTTACCCTGGAGTGAACTGTGGTGAAGTTCACATTATGATAGAGGACCTTGAAGCTGCTACTGCAACACCTGTCAAGGCCCAGCCTGCATAAACCAGCACCAAGACGGGGGCAGCACAGGATCAAGAGTTACATTTCTTTTATGCTTATGCCCCACCTCACGCTCTGCACCATGCAGTTGCACCACAACTGCCCCTTTAAGCTTAAATTATCCACGAACTTAAATTATTTTCCCTGCGACACATAGCACAGCCTTCGTGTCCTACTAGTAGCAGCCCTCCCTTCATTTATACTTTCCATATGGCCTCATTTTACTATGAGTCAGACACACTTGCCCTCTCTTCCTATGACTTACACTTTCCTACCTCAGAGGACACATATATCAGAAGACATATCTGATGGCCCAGTTTATGGATATCTTCTCGTACAATGGGCATTACTCCTGTCCAAAACCACTGCTAGATAGCCATCAGGTTCAAATCAAATTCCCCGTTAGACCCGACCATGAAAAAGCGAGCACAGAGAAGTCACCTTTGTTATAACAAAACACCCTTGAGTTGCACTTAATTCTAGTAAGCAGCACATCATCCTCACTCGCTGTACAAAAATGCAATTTATAATTTTAAAAAGCAATAATCATTCAAACCATCAGACCTGCAGCTTCGAGGCAGGATGGGATTGCTTCTCTTCTGTCTAATTTACCTGCAAGCACACGTCGCCCATCCTCTCGTGACAACCTGCACTTCCTTCCTTCCTTCCAGGCTGCTGCAGCAAACAGTATTTGGGTCTGAGCGACTGGTTTGGGGTCTGCTCTCCTCCAGCCCTCTAAGGGGTTTGTCATTAGTTTTCATGGAGAGCAGAACGAGGCTGTATGTGGAAAACCAATATTGACATTTCCTTGTTTAAATATCATACATCAGAGGGGGGTCACGGGAGCCAAGGCCACCAGAAAGGGTTCCCCCACAAGCTATTATTTCTTTTTAAAAGCACCAGGGACCCAGCAGTCTCCGCTGGGCCTCACACCCGCATGTCTGCTCTTCTCTGTGAGCTGGCTGACTGCTGCTGGGTGCCACTTAGCAAATACAGACATTCAGGTCTCTTTCTTTCCCCAATGGATCTCACTCATCCCTGCACAGAGGCCTGTTACTAAATGAATGAAATGTTTAACCCCTCTTTTCAAGGCTCTGCGAAACACACGCTCCATCTGCGCTCACCTCAGTCTTTGCTTGCAAAAATCCACAGCACTTTTCTATCAAATTTGAAACAAATGGCATTCAAACTTATTTTAAAAATTAATTGAACCAATACATCAACAACTTTCATGTTTTCGGAGCCTGCACAGCCCTCGCTTGGGAAATTAGAACTGCAGGAGGGTAATT